TATTTTGTGAGTATTATTTATTTATTTATAATATCTTAATATGTTAAATTTTCATTATTTTTAATTATAAACATAATCTAAAATGACAACTATTTTATAATTAGTGAAATATACATGTAAAGTATATATTAAATTATTATATATCATAAAATAAAATCAAAATAATATTAATATTTAGAACTATTTTTATACTATAATCAATATTTCTTCATTGTTTTAATACATACTGATATGGGATATTATATGACTAAGGAATAGACCGGTCTACCGCATCGGTCGGGCAAGCGCGAAAGTGGAGAAAACCGTATTGGTTGAAGGATGATCAACCAAAAAGAAAGAGATCGAGCAGAATAGCAGAACTGGTCGAGGATCGGCCTAGCAATGGGGGGCTCGATCAGATCGAGCATCCAACAGGTGGAGAGCGGACGAGAGCGTGGCCTGAACGCGGGAAAGCGCGTGGGGGGTGTTAGAAGATCCTAACGGCCTGTGCAGGATAATAATCTTCCCCAGCTCAGAGGGATACGTGGCGAGAATACATTGGTGTAGAGCGATAGTGGCGTTAGCCACCTCTGACAGCTCACCAAAAATCCGGGCAACTCCTAGGACAGGTATCTCACTCCTATATATATGGGAGTGGGTCTTTTCTTATGACTTACGATTTATCCATCCTTAACTTTGGAAAATTGAACAAACACATACTGACTTAAGCATCGGAGGCTCTTCACCGGGAAATCCCTCCGGTGTGAGAGTTCTGTGCAGGTGCGCGGCGTTCTACCGGCGAGAAAGAGGAAGACAAGTCGATTTCAAGCCGATCGGAGTGTTTTGCGTTACCACATACAATTTATAGTTATTGCCCGTGCACTACTAATGTTTTGTAAAAAAATGATTAAAAAATAAAGCAACTCACGATTTACTAAATGCTTATATGACAAACTGCAAATTAAATAACAAAAAATATTAAAATATATCTTTAACTTTAAAAGTTATAAAGCAGTCACACAAATTCCAAACTAACAGACTTTTGTATATAGGGAAAGTGATATTTATGAATGAAAAGTACTCTTTGATTAATAAGAATTGTAGTATATATCATAATATATTTTATCTTTGACAATTGATATAATGTATGAAAACTTGGAGATTTAATCTTGTAATTAACACCTAATTGATAAATAGTCTTGTGATGACGTTCATTTTACATAACACTCTGTAACTGGAAAAAAAATTTGAATTTAGGTCCTTCCACCGGAAAAGTCGATCAATGTGACTGGTTTGCTGAGTTGGAGATT